TGAGGAGCCACAGCACGTGACAACAGCTGTGCCCTGAGCTGGGCTTTCATCAGTGACCCCAGTACAGAGGCATCCTTAGCAATGCCTCCAAGCCTCAGCTGTGGCTCCCCTCAACAAGAAGCACCTGCCCACTTATGAACCCTACAACCTGCAGCTGCAAGCTGATCATCTGTGGTAGGTCAGGTGTGCAGCCGCTCAGATTTGTTGTGGGCGATTCCCTCCAGGCTGAGGAACCATGAGATTTCATGTCTGACTGCAGTTCACACCCTGCTGTTTTCCAGGACAAGGGCACTTGCTGGGACATGCACTGTGCATCACACTTCTCTGGGCTCTCTCCCTTGTCCACAGAGGAAGGGATTGTTCAGGCTGTAGGTGCTGGAGCTGCAAGGGCCACATTGTAGGAACTTACCTTCATATCCAAAAAACCAACCTAACTCTGTCTTTCTTTGAAGTCACTGAGATTTTTCTTCACTTTTTTTAAGGTGGTCTTGTATCCCTCAAAATAGCTTATTTTGGCCAGCAGGCCTTATGAATTCCCTAAATGGCTCAGGAGCAAACATGGCCAGTTCTCAGTCCCTAACTAGGCTTGGTCTGCATCCATGGCATACTTAGCACTTCCAAGCAGTCCATGGATGCACTCTGACAATGGCCTTGTGCTTTTTTCTGCACAGATGCTGCACTGGGTACATCTGTTCTCTTCCTTTGTAAAATGGATGGATTTTGCCAGCATTGTATGATGGCTAGTAAGGTTTCCAGGACAAAAAGAGGAAGAAAATTAGACATTTCATATCCCACTCTCCCTTCCCTCTTTTGTTGAAAGCAGTGAAGCTTTAAATCAGGTTGTAACACAGAGCTGGTTCAAATTGGTGGTGTGAGCATGGACTCCTCCAGGTGCATAGGGTGAGGTTTTACAAACATGTTTTAGACATAGGCCCTGGTGCCTCAGGCCTGACAGTGTCCTCTTAAAGAGGACAAGAGAGAGAAGCTGCCAGGCACAGCTTGAAATGAAACTGATACAGCACCAATAATGAGAGACTATATTTGGAAAGATCTTTCAGGGTTATTTTTGTCTGAGATCATTACTTCTGGACAGCCTGCTGACAACTGCTGGGCACACAAACACACTCCACCCAGGGTTTGGTTCTCTCTGCTGATGTGGAAGTAGCTCACAGGGGGTCAGCAGAGGGAAAGGATGCTCACACTAAGTTTCCTGCTCTGATTTTCAAACTGATCTGTGTTTGTGTGTACAGTGCATGCAATTCTTCTTCACCAAAGCCAGCAACTGCCCACCCAAAAGAATTAAAGCAATTATTTATCATTTTTCTAATAATTCCTGTTGCTACCACATGTCCCACTTTCCATGCACCCTGATACACTCCTCCCTGAAGCCACAGCTGGAGCACACCGTCCTCGTCCCTAAAATCAGTGGGAGCTTTCTCTGTTCCCAGCCAGGCTGATGCAAGGAATCCTGACAGCACTTCACCCCACTCAGAGAAGGCAGACAGGCCTGGGGGGCACAAGAACAGCTCCCTATCCCCTCAGAGATCTGCTTGCTGGCTTGCACTTACCTTCTGCCCTCCCACACTGAGCTTGTTGCGGTGAGCACTGGTACAACAGGAACACACCTCTTCAAAGCAATTAAAACCAGCCTGCTTACAGCAGGGCTGGCTGGGGAGTGAGGCTTGCAAAAGCGCTGTATGGGTGAGGTGCTGATTTATACCCAGGTTCCTCAGTGGGAGCCTGTGTCTGAGGGCTCCTGGGGCTCCTCCTTGTCTTACCTGGGCAGTTTCTGGGTAAGGTCTCTTTGCTGCCAGATATTTTCAGCTAAGGTGGGAAATCAGGAGTGAGAATAGGAGACTGTAAAACTGACTTTAGCAGATAAGGTATTCACATCAAATCCAGCTTAACTGCAGATTTATCTTTATTATTTTAGAAACTATATTCTTGATCATTTTAGTTCTGGAAGAGAAGTAGTTACTGCCTGGAGTTGGGCACTGTAGGCTGGAGAGCATCATGTCTCATGTGGAAACAAGCACTCTTCACTAGGACACAAGCCCCTTCAGACCAGGACTTAATAGATTTTCTTTAGGGACATTTTTCAGAGACTTTGTGGTCTTTACCTGCTGACAGGCTGTCCTATGGGAAAGGAGTAAGGACTGACCTAAGGGCTGAGCAAATATGCTGATTTGAATAACTGTGAAGGAGTAGCTGGTTTCTGTGTTGATTCCACAGGGACTAAACCTCTATCTCAATTCCTCTTAATATATTGTGGTGGGTTTACCCCAGCTGGATACCTGGTGCAGACCAAAGCCATTTTATCACTACCCTCCCACAGCTGGACAGGAGAGAGAAAATTTAACAAAAGGGTTATGAAGCAAGGTAAGGATAGGGAGATCACTCACCAGTTACTGTCACAGGCAAAACACACTCAACTTGGGGAATTTAATTTATTACAAATCAAATCAGACTAGGGTAAGGGAAGTAAACCCCTAATTTTTAAAACATCTTTCCCCTACTCCTCCCTTCTTCTGGGCTTAACTTTATTTCAGAATTCTTTATCTCCTTTACCCACTGGTGCAGGTGGATGGGGAAACGGGGTCTGTGGTCAGTTCATCATGCTTCATCTTTGCCCCTCTTTCCTCTTCTCTCACATATTCTCACTCCTCTCTTTAGCTGCAGTTGCTGTTGCAGTTTTTTTTCCCCTTCTCAATAGTGTTGACACAGAGGCACTTGGACCCGTTGCTTCCACTGGACACAGGGGAAGCTTCCAGCAGCCTCTCACAGAATCCAGCCCTGAAGTCCCCTCCTGCCACCAAAGCCTTGCCACACAAACCCAATACTTATGTACTTTTTTGTTTCTCTTCTTTAATTGCACTCTTCTGCTTAGCCATGTTTTTCAGTTTTAGCCCTTTTCATAATAATTGTGAAAACAAAAAGGGCATTGCACCACCTCAGTGAAACACAGCAGCAGCTCTGCTGCTGTTGTAGCTTAGAAGGGGTGAATATAATTTTCCTCAGGCTGGGAGCGGGCAGGTTGCAAAGAACACAAAGACTGTTAGACCCAAAGTGAATTATTCAGAACAGTGCTGAAGTGAACAAGGGGAAATGGGAGTGAAAATGAGAACTCCCTAAATTTGAACTGTCACTTCCTACAAAAACTGCAACCAGACTTTTTCCTTCATACAGTGGAAAGCCTTACAGAGCTTTAAAACCTTTAAAAATTTTATAAAGCTTTTTATCCATAACTTACAAGTGAGACTTGCACTCAAAATGTGGGGTTGACTGCACTAATTATGGCACTTAGTCATTTTCTTTTCCTTAAAAAAAAGATGGACACCAGGACAGGAAGTTTGCAGGAGTTGAAACACAAGATATAATTAGTGGAACTAGCTGTGCCTGGTCTGGCATGCAGAACAGCATTGTTGTGGCTGTGTCGTTTGTCTTCATGTGGCTCAAAATGCAGCTGCCCTTGGCTTCTGTGAAGGTCAGCTAGGCCAGGTGGTAGAGTGGGGCTTCTGCTCAGCAGGGGCACTTCCAGTGTTTCCATCTTCCTGCTCACTAAGTGATTTTGTACAGTAGGATGTTAAAGGTGATATTTCTAATACCCTCTGCTAATGTATCTTAATGGTAATAAAAGGAGCCAAAGACTGGAGAGAATCCTGCTTCCAAGTTCAAGAAGAGACTTGGATTCTGCCTCCTTTTCTCCAGATAGCCCAGCAGGAGCTCCATGATATTTTAGGCTGCTTTATGTGAGATTCCATATAAACACAGAGTAAGCCATAAATCTGAAATACTTAAATCCTTGTGATATCAAGAAAGTAAATACAGCTTTGCAAATGAGGGAGTCACTTTGTAAAAGAGCTGGCCACAGAAAGGGCAGGAACTTCACTGCTGGTGGCCATGCCTAGATAAGGGATTACAGAAAATCTGATCCAGTGAACAGTCTGACAGATCAATACAAATATACATCCATTGGTGCTGGTTCTTTTAATGTAGACTGAAATCTTCCAGGAGCCAGTTCTGGAATAATAATATAGCAGTGGCCAGTGACCCAGACATACTCAGTGTGAGAATATTGTATCACTTTTGTTCCATCTGGAGCTAGGAAGGAGGTATGAGGAAACAGGATGCTCCTCCCAGCAGGCCTCTAAGATTTTGAAAGGAATTATAAAAGACCAAATAAAAGGAAGAGGAGAGAATCACTCCCTTTTGCCTCCTGTTAACCCCTTTAGGCTGCCCTGAAAATAATTTGGTTGTCTGTCTGCTACTGATTAATTCTCACATCAGGAACCATTCCACTTCAGAAGGGGAGTATGAAGGAGTCTCCATTAAGCCTGCAAGCAGATCCATGAACTGACTGGGAGCGCTGACACCCACTGTGTTTCTATGCTATAAATCCTTGGAACCTGTTCCACTGGTGACAGATGGCCTGGTTCAGGATTAATGAAACAAAATATCTGTGCCACTGCATCAAACAGCTGAAGAAGCTGGCATCAGATCCCCAACCAGAGAAAAATGTGCAGACTACTCCTTCCCTCCTGGAAATTTTTCCTGGGGCGAGGGGCAAGAGAGATTTGGCCATTAGTCTGGGAATTGCTGGCAGTGAGCAGTCTTCCTGGAGCAGTCCTGTGCAGCAAGCTCCCTTCTCCCTGGAAGTGTGGACAAATGGCCATTTTCTGTGGCACTGGCTGGAGCAGCAAGGAACAAGCTTGCTCCTGAGATTGGCAACCCAGGGCAGCCAGGATGTGGTGTAATGCCAGCCCGGTGCCTGGTTGATTGGTGTTGGATGTACTCTGTGGAGTGCATGTGAGTGTTTCTCAGGTTCCCCAGGTAGGAATGCTGTGGCTGACTGTGACAGTCAGCTTTAGTAGGGTGCTGAGCAGCTCCAGCACAAATTATGCTGGAGGGTATAACAGTGGCACAAAGCTGCCCGCCACAGAGGGGCCTCATATTCCGTGCTGAACCAGTGACAGAAACAGAAAATGAGCAAGGAGACGTTGTATCTGCACAGTAAAAATACAGAGTAAATTAATATTTTAATTGCTGTTACACACAGAAGAAATGAGAAAAAAAATTACATTCCAAACAAAGAATAGTAAAATCAGCATAAAAATGTGTTAAGAAAAGATCCCAGATCAAGTGGCTGTACTGCATGTGGTGACCTTTACAATCACAGTAAAGAAAGTAAGTGCTAGAGACTTTCAGACATGGCAAAGTGCTTGGCTCCCCAGAGGAGAGCAGCTGCTTCAGTCACTTTTTCAGTGCACTCTGCCTGGAATGTGTGGGAGAGGGGCTGGAGCAAGAGATTCACACGGGTCCAAGACATAGAGATTAGTGTTCAGGACAGACCAGCCACTCTGCATTCTCAGGCAGGCAAAACTGCCACTTACCCAGTGGCATTTGCTTTCTCCTTCCTTGTTTTTTGTTTTTTTGGTTTTTGGTGTTTTTTTTTTTTTTTTTTTTTTTTTGTGGTTTTGGGGTTTTATTCTTGTTTTTGTTGTTGTTTTCTGTTTTTTGGGTTTATTTAACAAAGCTTCAGGTTCTGCTGGCCTGACCCTGCCAGCACCATAGGCTTGGAGCAAGCCTCCCCAGCTGAATTAGGAGCAAGGCTTGGTCCAGCAGGAACCTGCACCAGCAGGGTCTAGATAAAAATGTTTGTAGTGATTCAGCACCATCGCCCAATGGGCTGGTTTTGGTTTCTTGCTTCTCTTCTGTCAGGAAAAGGTGTCTTTTATTTCCTTATGCTCTGTCTTTTGACTGATCCAAATTGGCCCAGTCATGCTCCCACTGAAGTCTTGGTGGCTCAACACCTGCATCTTGTGCTTCAGCCTCACTTCTGAGCCATCACACCACTCCAGTAGCTCACCGACAGCAGCATAGTGTCACCACAGAAACAATACAGACCACAGAAGTTTTGGCATTCCTGCCAACTGGCCACTTTTTTTTCATTTGTAGTCTGTCTAGAGTTGTGTATTTTTATTCTTTACAGTAAGAGCAAAAATAAAATAACATTAAGAAAATTTTCTCCAAACTAAGAAAATGAAAACCCATCAAATATTTTAAAGAAACCATAAAAATTTGCATTGTGTTTGCTTCTGAGTTCGTATTAAGATTTTACTGCAGCTGCTTCAAAATAATGGTCCATTTCACATATACACAGCTCACATTCCTTGGTGTGTAATTCCTTGCCTTCGTTTGTGTTTGTACAGCAGCTAGTGCTACAAAAACTAGGTAGTTTCTAGCTGTGGTCCAGATTTAGATCAGTGAACAGTGGCATTTTTATCCTAGCTGAGAACACGGCGATGGTTGAGAGCTGTATTTCTAGATCAGCTTTTGTTCTGGGCCAAGGGACTGGTGGTACAAGCACTTCCTTTGCTACAAAACCCACTGCTTCCTTCATTTGGGTGAAAAAAAGGAATCCAAGAAGGATATGCCGACCTTATTGATTCCATCAAGGCTTTCTCTCTCTGCTGATTTTAAAGCCAGTGAAACTTACAATCAGAGAAATTAAACATCCCTTTGAAAGTTATCTCATGAAACCCAGCTGACCTTCTGCAGACTGAAGGCTGAACAGAATGACTTCATTTTCTGTTCCAGCTTTTTCAAAAGCCACAGCAGACTGTGAGGCACTCTGTTTTGGCTGGATTATATTTACTCTAGCTAACAGTGGGGGACAAGACTAGACTGCAAAAGCTGGATGCAAGGTTCACAGCTAAGAATTTGGTCAAGGGTTTTAGAAGAACTAAAAATCATTTGCAAAACTGAAATTAGAGAGTTCAGATTTTTAAGCTAAACCTCCCTCAGAGTTCAAGCTTAGCTGAGCCCATCCTGTTAACCAGCATGAATAAATATTTTGCAATTTTTTTCTATCTGATGCAAATTGAAAAGGCAGCCACATATTCCGTGTTGCTTAGAAGCAATTTTAACATTAAAGTTGGATAATACTTGTGACTTACATAGCACTTGACATCTTCAAAGTGCTGTATGAGCATCAATCCTCACAATATCCTTGTGAGGTGGGTAAGGGGTAATATCTCCATTTTAGAACGGGGTGAGGGCCTGGTCTCCTGCCGGGATAACTTGGCATTGCACTGGTCCTCATACACCACATGTGGACCTGGCCCCAGAAAATCTGACTCACCCAAGGCCACAAAAGGAGCAAATGTGGATAAAAGGCAGGACGATTTCTGTCATGAGAAGTCAGCAACTTCCCATCCTCTTCCAAAAACACAGTTATGATGCTTCTGCTTAAAAGACCACCTGTCTGTATTCAGAAACCAAGCAAAGAGAAATAGGCACCAGCCACTGAAATCTACAGTTGCTGTTTGTTTTGATCTGCTTCTTCCAGAACAGCTCCCAAAAATACCACAATAGGAAGATGAAAACGCAGGTGTTAGTGTCAAACTACAGGACTGGAAAACTTTGAAGAGCCACTAAAAACTGCCAAGTTCCTCCTGGGAGTTTTATAAACTTGTGTAAAAATGTATAAATTGCCTCCACTGACGATAACATGAAACCTTCAAACAATCTACTCAAAAGCCATGTTAGAGTAATCCTTAAACCAATCAGTCTTACAGATGCCTCACTGGGGAGGAGTAAGAAGCCAGGTATCCAGCACAGAGTAAAAGTAAAGCTTAAAGTTAAAATCCTCTGGCTTTGTTCTTCTTGACCTGCCATTTCTACATGAGCATCACCCTGTGACACAGCATTACTAGCACCTAAAAACAAGTTGCAATTAGCACTGCTTCTCTGACTAACCCTGGGAGTTCTGTGCAAGGAGGATCTGCCTACAGAAAGAGGCTGAAGTAAACATGCTGCATCTTTTATATGTCCAATTAAAGAGCCAAAGGACCTCCAAGAGGATGATAACTACAGAAAGTAACCAAACCATGTATGTAAGCTCAAGTGACCATAGACAGGGTTTGCAGAAGGATGTTTGGATACAGCAGTGTGAAATAGTGAAAATCTTCACTATTTCAAAGTGAAGATTGCCCTCGCTGGGGGTTGAGGGAACAGTTTTAATCCCAGGAGAAGTTATTTAACAGAGTGCCAGCAACTGCTTACTGCTTCTCAGGATTTAGGCATCTCAAAATTGTGTCAGATCACAGTCCACAGCAGCTGGTCTCTTCCCAGCAGGAAAGAGCCTCCCGGAAAATGGTCTCGTTCAAGTAATATGGATTAGAAAGAGGAATGCAGAGCCAGAGAGAGATTTTGAAGATTAAGAGCCTTTGCCAGCAAACCTCCAAGACAAGCAGGACTCTCCTTTGTATGCTGAGGGCTCTGCCTCATGTTCCTGGGAAAGCTGAAGCTATTGCAGCAGCGGGATGGAGGCAGTGTGACTGGCCAATGTCTCCCAGCCAGGTCACTCCAGGTGACCTGTTCCAGGACAGCAAGGGAACAACAGCCCACTTGGGCTGCACAAGTTTCTGCTGTCCCACCAGAAACTGCACCTCTGATGGCCAGTGGTCGAGAGGAGACACATCAAGACTGTTTTCTGCAGGTATCCAGTGGCTGATGGTACAGCAGGACAGCAAAGCAAGCCAAGAAGAAAAAGCACACAGAAAAGCAACTCAGCTGTTTTCAGGCTGTTCAAGACTACTTGTTTCTAGAGAGGGAAAAAAGAGAATCAAAACTCAAGACTTTTAAATAAAGCTTACTTTATCACACAAGCATTTTCCTCAAAGCAAAGGAAAGCTTCAGGATGTGGGGGAGCTCCTCTGAAGAACTGCCAGCTAAGGACTGAGTGTGGTGACCCATGCCAAGGAGCTGGGTTTCAAAGACTGCAGTGTGCTGTTAGCTCACATGCTGGGAGGATGGTGGGGTTCACCCCAAATGCTTAGACTTCCTCTCAGCTGGGTCACTTTGTCGCAGGAGGAGATTTGCAAACAACCAAGCTGAGCAAAGCAGGTGACATCTGCAGAGAGCTACACTGCAGGGTTCAATCTATGGCCAGGAGATAAGCAACGCTGATGAATGAAAATGGTTTATGGCTCTAAATTCCCTTAGCTGTTTACTCCAGGCAGGCCCCCATGTGCCAGTGAATGAATACTGACAGTATTACGTAACAGCATTAAAGGGAAGGGATTACACAGGGCTCTGCCACCTACAGTGCTTTCCCTCTCCATAATGCAGCTGACCTTTCTGATCCCTGTCTGAAAGGCAGCAGATGCCCCCACGGGGTCAGGATGTTAACCCAGATTTCTGTAATTCTGGCTGCATTTGCTCTGATGGAGAAGTCGTGGGGAGGCAATGTCTATTCCCTGCCAGACACACCAGGTGAGGCTGGAGAGGAACAGGAGACCCACTCAGCACCTCTCACAACAAAAAAAGCTAGCAGGGTTCTATGTGAGTTCATGTGAGTTTGAGAAGGAAGTGGCAGGCGTGTTGAACACAAAGGACAGTGCTTTTCAGGAAGCTCTGCTGAAAAGGGACTTTCTGATGAAAAAAGAAGTGGTGCAAAGAGGATCGTTTTCCACCAGCAAAACGTGGCAATCTATATCCAAAATCAGGCCTTGATCACAGGAAATGCTCACACAAAGGTTTAAGATACTGCAGGCAGCAGTACTAAAAGTACTACTGGAAGTGTTACTAAAACTTAATGGGTACATGGAATATTACTTGTTAGGACATTGGAGAAAAAAGGCATAAAAATTAGATGCCTGTCTGCTATAGTAAGGATTATTAGGACATACACTAAGTAAGACAATTAGTAAGTTCTGCTTTAAAAATCAAAGTTCCTCATGTGCCCATTACATTTCACTGGTGGCTGCAGGCACCATGTAACTATGTGCACAGGGACAACACTGAGATGTCCCTGATACCCCACATCTCTACAGCTCTGCCACAGGCAGCAATGCTGACCTGCACCTAGAGACCTGCCCTGGAGCAGTGAGCACTGCAATCAAAGCACACAGCACTGCCAGCACACCTCTCGCTGTGTGCCCTCAGCCTGGGGTTCTGCTTTCATGCTGCCTCTGCTGGGTACTGCCCCACACGCTGCCATTGACTCCAGAGCTCAGCTCACAGCTGGGTATGCTCTTTTTATTCTCCCTCCGAGCTTCCTGTCAGTAGAGGAATAGCTCCAGTTTGCATACTGTAATGCACAAAAAGAGACAAACATCAATTAAATTAATTGTTACCTATGACTTTAGCAGAGATCTGTGCCTGTCTGCCTACAGTCAAGAACGAGCCTTTTAGCACAGTGCATGGCCAAACCTCCTTTCCACCAGCACTCTTCTTCCCAGACATTCTGCATCAATTTCAAAACTAACAAGTAAAATGCAGTAGTACAGCATTTCCAAGGAAGAAAAGTGGAATGAGTAACTACTGCAGGGACAGTCTAAGCTTTCTGATGTGGACTCCACACTGAAGTAAGCTGTATTCAGAGAAAGCCAATGAAAAATAATGTAATTCCCAAAGGTAATGCTTCAAAGAAGCAAAATCAACATCACCAGTGTGCCTAGAGAAATGGAGATCTCTCTCAGGGGTGAATGCAGCTACAGCACCTGAGATATAACCCATGTGTTCACAGCCTGTTGGCACTCCACCTAGCTCCTCTTCCTGAAGTCCTCTTCATCTCTGGTCTCCACGGCCGACAGCGCGATCAGCATTTGGGCCGCGTAGTAGGTGGCCATGATGATGAAGCGCGAGTAGGGCACGGGGAAGCAGAACTCGTTGAGCGCGATGGTCAGGTCCGACACCATGAAGAGCATGGCGCCCACGCAGGCCGACAGCTTGGTCCACGTCCACAGGTCGTTGCACAGCTGCACGCCCGCCACCGCCCGCCAGCCCATGAAGCCGATGAGGGCGATGTAGACGGCCACCAGGTAGGTGAACGGACCCGAGAGGTAGGAGTACAGGAAGGCATAGCAGGAACTGGAAACGACGCCCATCAGCAAGCCGGCTTTGAGGTCCAAAGGCTTCATGCCAAAGGCTGAAGAGTACAGGATGTGTGTGATGCCAAACATCAGCAGACCTGGAAAGAGGCATTGACACAGAAAGTAGGACCTTTCATCAATGGCTGGCAGTTAGTAGCAGAAGAAAACATTCCCTTGCAGTGTTACCTACCAACAACACTAGCAGTGATAACCACTGACCACTTGGGACCATTTTATTACAAAAATCTGTACACGGGAGATAGCACCAAACCCCAACCTAAAAAAAAAGCCCCAGCACAATTACAGCTGCAGTCAAGTACAGCTCTGCTGTGACAAAAGCCTTTCTGCTGAGAAGCTGGGTAGAACTAAGCTGCTGGAGAATTAATTGATCTTGTTTTTCAGGTAGTTCCTCTTCCCCTGCTTGGGTGGAAGGTTGGGATCAAGGCAGACCAAAGACCACCCCCTCTAACTATCCATAGTGTTTTGCTCATAGGTCATATGTAGAAGAAGACTGGAACCACAGCAGTGTAGGAAAAAAATGTGACAAAAGACACTAATCCCTCTGAACCCTGACACAAAGCTTGCCCGTATTTAGCCACAAACCCAAAGGCACTTGAGGACTAAATCTGGCTGCTTCTCCATCTCTGCCCATAGCTGGGAGAAACCTAAGCTGGAAAGAAGCAGCTGGCATATTTCAGGGACTGCACCAATGTGATCTGCCAACAATTTTATGGTCATTTGCAAGATTCAGATGAACCTTACCAGGAATCAGTCAGGGAAAATAAAATGCTGGCTTCCCTTTGAAGTGCAACACCACTGAGAAATGCCAGATGTGGGTGTTGGAAGGTGCTGCCCGTATGTTATTAACTTGCCACTAATGCATTTGACAAAAATATGTCCCAATGTGTTGGCACAGCTGCTGCCTCCAAGCTGTCATGACAACTGTAGATAATGGGCCACAAACAGAGCCCAGCTCCTTGGGGCTTCTGCCTCCCAGACCCACACATGGTGCAGCTGCAGGCTCTCCTGCTTTTATCCTGGCAGGGTTATTAGAGGAGCTGGAAGTTTTCATGCAACTCTAAAGCATGAAATGGAGAAAAGGACCTGGGAAGCTGAGTCCTCCAGCGGGACACTTGTTCACATTTAACATGTGATGCTCTGGTGTAAAAGACAGTCACAAAAACCTGCAGCTGGCAGACGTTGCTTCATCCTACTACTCTTGTGTTAAGGCAGCTCAAGGAAGAAGTGGAAGTGTCTCCCTGCCTTTGGGGAGGACCAGATTAGACACCCACTGAGAGCTCAGCCATGGTGGGATGAGAAGGAAATCCACAGGAGGGAGTGGGCTGGTGGGATCTGTTTTGCAGGGTGAGGCTAGAGAAAATGGACAGCATGAAGGGGAAAGAAGAGAAGCACAAAAGAGGACAACAAGAAGCTGATGTTTCAGAGAGCTATTGCATCTCATGGACAGAACACTGAAGGAACTGAGAAGGGATTTAGGAATTTAGGACAAGAGTTTTTTATAGGGCTATAGTGCAGGAAAGGTTAGAGCCCTGGGAGATGGTAAGGAGAAGAAGGATATGTTGTCCTAGCAGTGAGCAATGTTTTTTTCCTTCAGTGGCATTATATGGAGCATTCTGCAACAGGGACTGAAGAATGTGTTGTCCTTCATGCAGGCATCTGGCAGCAAGGAGGAGGAGGAGGAGGAGAGGACAGGATAGCGTAGGCAAAGAGACTGGAAAGGCAGGAGTTCCGTGATAGGTGGTGAGGCTGGTCACATACAAGGGAATCAGCTCCCAGGTTTGCTCATTCAGCACCCCCAAATCAAGCCAGGAACTAGGGAAACCTATGATGGCTGCACAGGGAAGGGGGTGCACTTCTCTTGTATTTCTCAGCCTTTAGCTTGGTCCACTCAACCACATCAGGGAGATCAGCCCTTTTCTCCCACTTTCTTCCTCTGGGTTTCCTCTGTCTTCTTCACCAAATGCATAAATTGTTTCTAAGTGCCTGCAAAGGAGGCAGTGTCAAAGGAGGTGGATATTAACACTGTAAGGTATTTTCTACATGCAGTGAGAAAGAAGTTAGAAAATAGAGTGTTATTAGTGGACTGAAACAGCAAAAATGAAAAAAAGTCAAGTGCACCAAGAGTAAGTTCCCAGGCTCTCACTTCCCTATAAAGTAATGAACAAATGTTCTTTTATAAACTCATTGTCTCAAAAGCTTTTCAAATTAGCCCAGTTTCCACCCCTTTTCAGTCCAAAAACTGCAGAAGTTGAATAGAATGTACATTTTTATCCAGTATTTCCTCTTCTCTCCTCAAACTTCAAATTCCCACAACTGATGACATCAAAAATATTGTCAGTTGTCAGCAATAGCAACCTGATGAATTTAAATAGGAGAAAATACATTTTGCAGGCAAAGTGAAGGATGAAATAGAGCAGTGCACTTTATATGCTTATATCTGAAATGCAAGTGTTAACACTTCCCTACAGAAGGTAGCAGCTCACTGAGCTGAGATTTTCAAAATGCTCCAACAGAGCTTTTCTTCTCCTTAAGAAGAAAAAATGTGCCTAAACCCACAAAGTAAAACTTCTCAGTTGTGAGATTAGGGTTGAAAACCCGACTCATTTGCAAATTAAAGCGCATCATTAAAGCAGATGCTGAATTGCTGTGACTGGCTAACCTTCCTCTAGCACTAACTTGAAGAGGAAACGCAGAGATATACGGGACTGGAGAAGTGCAGAAGAATCCATACACAAAAATGATCATGGGGAGAACTGGGCCTTGAATGTTTCCCAAGCCACAGCTCAAGGAGCAACTCCAGGAGGCAAAACCAGTTGGGCTGAGGCAACTGAGCCAGGTACTCCTGTTGGGAGGAGGCCTATCAGTGGGAATGTCAGCACTCAACACAGAAGGGATGGCACCTCAAGAAAGCTGGAGCTCCTCAGCAGTGTGCCCAAGGTTCAGCCAGATAGATCCAATTCTCAGGGCCTAATCCAAACCCCACCAATAGCAGTAAACATTTTTACATGAACTTTTAATGGGATGGCAATAAGCCCTTGGGAAGCAGGATTAAAACCAGATTCAGAGCATTTGGCCTTTCATATCTGGCACTGCACACACTTCCTTCTCGTAAAGAAAGAGCTTCTGGGACTCCCAGAATAAAACTAGATACTAACCTCATGAGATAGGGGAAAAAGAAAGCCTTTGACTTTCAAATCTGACAACAGCAAAAGCCAGGAAAGTTCCCTCTTCTCATCACATTTTCCAGTGAGACAGTTACAGCAGCCAGTTAATGGTGGGTGTTATGTGCAATCCCTGTGCTGCTTAAATTAACTTCAGAAACCCCACCAGTCAGTTCAGTGAAGAACTCAAGTGCTGCTGATTTCTTTTGACAGTCCAAGGCCAGGGAGAGAGTTGCTGCAGGCAGGTTCAACGTGGCTTTAAATGATTAATCTGAATCATTATGTTCCCGTCTGCAAACTAGCAAAATAAACCAAGCTCATTTTGATCTGAGAGATGTGGATCTTTCTGTAGAGCAGACCGACCACTGCAGTAAGGTTGGTCCTTGATTGACTACCATTTAAATGTTTTGCAAAACAGACATGTCTTGTACAACAGGCTGCATGATTCACACTGATGAACCTGCAAGTAGGACAAGATTGCTGCTGCTTTGGTTTCTATCATCCACTTAATACCTCCCCCAGACTATGGGCTTGTCTATCAAAACATAAATGTCCTCTCCACCTGTTCTCCACCAAAGAGCTGTGCACAGTATGTTCCATTCCCAATCTTCACTGCAAGGTCTGACAGATCTCCCTGCAGAGAGACAGGAGGTAAATACTTCCTGTAACTTCATGGGAACTGACAAGTGCCACAAACGTTTCCTTCTCTTCCCCAGGGAATCTGGCATTCCACCTTCTCAACTCCAGCGAGCCCAGATGCTATGACACATGCCAGGAAACCTAACCTGACCCAATTACCTCTCTAACCTCAAGAGAAGCTCAAGAGAAAGACTCATCCATGATGTGCTTCCTCAAACCATGATGGATTTTAGTCAAGGGATGAGTGCTTCCCAGCGCCCGGGGCTTAAGCTGTACATGAATAAACAAAACATGTGGCCCAGCAACTCATTACTAAACAAAGAGGGTAACAGCTGGGCACTATGGCATCCCTTTAGGACTGACACTGTACTCACCATGAATGAAGTAGCCTTGCTCCTGCCAGATGAGAAAGGCGTCTCCCACTGCCGAGAATATGAGTCCCGCTAGGATGCGGCTGGCACTCCGGTGTGACACTAAGAAGTTAATCCCATGAGCCAGAAGGAAAACCCACAGGCAAAAGATGGGCAGACATTTAATGAGGGCACTGAACCAGGAGGGGCTGGAAGTTGGCAGCCAGAGGACAAAATAGACACATGTGGCTTTAAAGAAGGGGACAAGTTTGGGGCCTTCACTCTTCACCTAAAGAAAACAAACATTAAAAAACAAGAAATTAATAGGATCATCAGAAGCATCAGTGAAATAAGCTTCATAACACAACTGGCTCCTTCCCTTTGAAAGTTGCTCTTCCATATACTGTCAGCTGGCAGTGTTTGTACCCCAAGAAATGCTGGTTGAACTTGACCATGATTCTCTGCCTAGATCTTTGTGACCCTCTCTGCTGAAAACACTTCTCAGTTGGCAGGATGGGCTTTGGGTGGTGGATTTGGAGGAAGTTATAGAACCTTTTCTCTTTATTTGTTCCACTGAAAATATTTAGGCCATTAGTGGCCATTAGGCACCAACTCCTCTGGTGCTCCTTGTACCCTATCTCGTGTTTAGGCTAATCCCTTTAGGGTACCTTTCCAGAAGCTGTGAAAATACTGCATGCCCAGATATATCCCAACAGCAAACAAGCCAGTAAAGGCACAAATCTTCTCTCCCATTTTCACAAATCCTCCTGCTTAGGCAATTGCAGATCACCCTGAGGATACAACCTCTCTCTTAACCCATTCTTTCCCCAGCCCTGTAGCCTCATGCCTGGAGCTTGCTGTTGGCATCACAAGCGTCAAAACCCAACACATCAACCTCCCAGGTGAGGATGTCACTTCCTCGGCTGACTAATACCAACATCAACCACGTGTGGCTTTGTTCTAGCAATACTCTAATAGTACAGTACCCATATTGCAGGAAATGTTTTGACTCAGGGCTCTACTGTGTAAATACACACACAAAAATGCAGCACGAGCACTTGGCTACTCGTAACAAAACCACAGCAGGGCAGAGCACAGAGCTACGGGCTCCACAGCTTGGGTCTGCTCTTGACAAACACTTAGCTGAGACCACTCTGCACAGTGATATGTATTGTGTTCACCTGCACTCCTGTTACATTTCTGCATTTCAGTGTAGATGTGTAAAACTCCATGTGAGAAACAAAGCTATGATTTTATTTTTTCCTGGAGAAGAGCTGAGGGCCAAAACAAGGAGCAAAGGAAAGGACTGTAACTGCTTCTATGCCTGCCTGAGCTATGTCCCAGAGTCTTACAGGAGGCCTGTCTGCTCTTGCACCTGAGGCAGTGCAACCCCCTGAGCTCCCCTGCAAGCTGGGGTTCACCCTCAGTCTTCTCATTTCTTTGGTCAAGCAAGATTTATTTCCTACATATCACAATGACTTCCCACTCATGGCCAAAGCACACAGAGGCCTCCTGCACTGGAGGAGGACATGGGGGAAAATTTAGAAGCATCCAAACAGATTTCATACTGTGAAGTCCAACTTGTCTTTGGTTGGTTTTTTTCCCAAATAACTTGACCCTTTTTTTGCTTCCTGCATCATGGGACATTGTCATGACCAGTGTCCATCTTCCTTTGATGCTGGATGCCTTGGTGCAGATACCTAGAACAGGTGAAGATTGCACAGGAAATATTCCATGCTTACAGTGCTCAGGTGATAAAGCCTAATCTCACAAAAATTGAGGATCTTTTATGGGCACAAGCAAATGGAGTCAGGGGGAGCTGGAAGACAGAGGCAGAGGCAGTGGAGGGCATCTTCACATGCAGTATCTAAAAAGGGAATGCAATCTCTGGAGCAGTGAGGCTATAAATAAAGGGCATCCCAAGAAGACAGTGCCTTCAAAATTTTTCTCACATCTGATGGAAATTTCCCCAGCATATCAGCAGTTCCTTGGCAGTAAGGTATTTCATCATACATTATTCATAGGCGATTGCCAACACAATTTTTAAACACTCCATTAAACAACCAGGCTACACAATTCCCTAACAAAAGGACATCAGCAAGCCGTTAACTTTCTTGTATTACATGGGGAGCCATCGTGAGTCCTCTACTTAGGCTGTCTAAATTAATCACCACTTACCACTCCTTGTCTGCATTCCCTGGGAAAATTCTGGCAGCAAACAGCAAATTAACTTGAAATAAAAGTCATAAAAACCCATGTAGTCTCCTCACAGTACTGGGGTTGCCTGGGAACTATCAAGTATTGTAGGGGAAAGAGTGCATAGACGCATACAGGAGAGTATTTGGGTTAGTAAACATGGTAGGTTTTATTTAATACCTCATAATAAAAGAAAAACACCTGCTAGGAGCAGTTACAATTACCATCACAGCTTGCCCTCCCCTGTGTGCACACATTATGAGACAGGTTTTAATTACACTTGTCATTTCCCCAGGAACCTTGCCTTACTGAAGCTAAGATAAAAACTTGTGCAGAACAATTATGTTTACTTGGTAAGCTTAAAATTACCTTTTCTTGCTATCTGAATGTGAATCTTGCAAGCCCAGACAGCAGTATTTTAGAATAATGGTTTGTATTATTTCCATCCTAACAACAATTGAGGAATTTTTCATGCATAAGAGTTACAGCACTCTCATGTAAGAATGATCTCATACTTCTAGAAGGGCTACGGGCTTCTCATCATTGACACTTTATTTCTTAACACTTCTTCTCCAAGTATACTTCAGATGAGTTATTTCCAACCATGCCCTTGCCCATCATGGAATGCTGCAGCTCACTGGAGCCCCTTTTATGGCTCTGATCAAGATGAGGGCCCCATGAGTGGCACTGGAAATACTTTGGAAAAGTCCTCCAAGAAAAACTGAGGCAACCAGAGGGTGAGCCTGGGGATTATCCTCTGTTTGGCCACATGGCTGAGGCTTGGAAAGGGGTGATGAGGCAATTTGCCACCTGAAGGACAAGTCAAGACTGCTATTGGAAAACCATGTACCAACATGACTGGAAGCTGTGGTTTGAGGAAAGCCAAGCATATAATCCATAATGGGACTTGCTGTACCATACGGAAGGGGAACATTATTTCTTCTCTGTGTGGATAAATTATATGAAACCACCCATCTCCTTTGTCCCTGTGTCTCAGAGACAGAATGTGAGATGGGGGCTGCACAAGGAAGCACTTGATAGAGGTGACAAGATCTTTTTTGCTAATGTGTGTGATTGTCATGGCTTTAATCTGGGTTTTGCCATTTTGTTACAAATTCTATTGCACTTTTCTTCCTAAATCTTTTCTCCTGCCACTGCTAATTTACTCTGTGCTGAAATGCAGTACAGAAAATAGCTTGAATGCAAAAACAAGGCAGTATTTCCAACATTTTAATTTCTAAACTGAGCATAGTTTAGGGCTTTTTCTCAACTGCTATGGCTACTAAGTTACTCAGAGTCTTTAAAAACTAGTTTGAACTGCTATAAAGCCACTATCTCTGCATTTGTAGAATTACAGTAGAAATATTTTTTATTAAATTATCTGTATCCAACCAAATCCAGTGAAACTCTCCAAGACTTGGGCAGACTAGGAGGAAGTTGTGTCTCGGCTCTCACCAAGAGACTTTGTGCCAGATAATCTCCAGCGGTCCCTTCCAATCCCAACCATTCTGCGATTCTGCTCAAACAGAACATGGTACTGGCACTTGCAGCTCTCCGGAGGCTTAGAGATCCACCTCTCTAGGTGCTCACAGGTTTACAGGATCCCCTTCTTGTTTTGCCTGCACTCATTCTGCTCCAGTTTGAAATACTCCTGTACATGGCCTGTTCTGATTGCTGCAGGCACATAACCAAGCCAAAAAATTTACATCTGGCTCCTCTTCTCCAGTATAAGCCCCATCCACAGAGGAACAGCTACACTCATAAGACAGGTTTTCTTTAACATTTTGGAGTCAATTGTCTGTATCTATATCACAAATGGCAAAGCAAATCCAGCTGCCACAGGGAGGGAGACATCTTCCTCCCAAGGCACAGAAGAACATCCAAAGCTTGTTGCATTTAAATGCTAAGCTGGACAGAGTTCACTGTTCCTAAGCCTTGCATTGGTCCCAGGAAACAATGTGGAGTATCAACTAATGCTCTTGTCTCAGCAGAGCCCCCTAAATCAGCCTGCAATGAAAGTGAGTTCAGACACCAGCTGAGTGCCAGCCTGCTGTGGGAATATGGCTCACACCCGCTTTGCACTGGGCTGCAAAGTGCAGCTTTCCAGGAAAAGTGCTGTAAAAATAATACCCCAGCCATTCTACTGAGGAACATTTGAGCACAACTGTGTGCACTGGCCAAAAAAAGCTGGGCTGTTGTCCTCCACCCAGCCCTCCCATCATCCTTGTACCATTTTGTGTCTGAGCTGCTCCTCCTGGCTTTTGGCATCCAGCATTGTGGATCCTGCCTTGGTTCTCCCCTACTGTGACAACAGCTCTCACCCCCAGTTGTGTGCCAATAAACATTTATTTGGCTTTGTTGCCATGTTTGCTGCCACTGCAAGGCCATGGCCCTTGTTTCTCACTGCCCAGAATATGTGGCTCTCTGCAAGGCTCTCCAGCTCTGCTCTCCTGCAGGAACAAACATGTTCTTGGGGAACAAATGATTGCCTACTGCCATTTGTCAAGGAAGGTACTGGCTTGTACATGTCCCAAGCTGCTCCTGAATAAATTCTGAAAATAAGTGCTAGTTATGGAAGGTGGTGAAGAGTTACTGAAGCAGCCAGTCAACCTGCCTGTAATACTGTGTTGATACAACATATTTTTGCAATTAATAGGAGGGGTTTTGTTTGTGTTGGAGATGCCAAGGGCCAAGCATCCAAAGCAGATGGCTCCTGAACAGGCTCCACATGCTGCGGGAAATTCAGGGTGATAGATAAACTCTCCTCCCCTCAAGTGGAGGCAAGACTGTAGAGGCTGCATCTAAAACAGATTTGTAAAATAGCAAATAAATCACCCAGAAGATGGTACGTGTTTTGCATGTGGGAGAACTTCCATGCTGATAATCCCATCTCCATCATGCTTATGCCATGCAATGAGTTTTGCCAGGTCTTTATTGCAGCTTCTGGCACTCCCCAGCATAACCCAGGGCCTCTGTTTCTCCCACAAGGGTAATGCAGTGAAACTCAGCTCATGCTCAGCTGTTCAGTCAGACCTGTTTGCAAGGGGTCAAAAAATCATGGATTTGTCTGACTGGAGCCTCTGTTGTTCAGCA